CGACCGTTATTTCTCGGTTGGTCTGATAGAAATGTTCGTGGAATATTCTTTCCATATCAGACCAATCCCTTACCGAATTCGGCGAAAGGTTTATGAACCATGAGAACGCCGCGCCGGTCAGGGAGGGAACAAATAAACGGAGCTTCTGTGCGTTTGAATCAGCCTCTCCACACTGGACCGTGAAGCGGCCTATGTGTTCAATGGAGGAGGTCTGCCCATCCCCGAAGAACAGCATGAATTCTGGCAATCGATAGTTCCGGGGAAGGGGGGTTCGGTCAATTTTCGGCGGGTACGGCTTTGTATACCTTGGCGCCTCCGGTCGCCTCTGAGCGAGGCCGTCCTCAATCATTCGCCGGACATCTTCGAATCGGAGCCCTTGAGGGGGGGCTTCTTGTTGGGCCGCATACGACCGCGGGACCTGCTGCACATCGTTCTGCGGCCTTATCTGCTGGGTCATCCGAATAGGGGGCTCGGCTAGTACGGCCGAGCTGGCTGGCGCCAGGTGAGCGCCATGGGTTTGCCCGGGGTGCGTGTATGCTACCGTCGGAATAGCCGAACCGTAATGAAGGTGGGAGCCCAACGGGAATAACGACGCCTGTAAGGGGGGCGAAACAGTCGGATTGCTCTGCCCGTACTGTTGTGATGGAGCAATGGTCGCGCCGCCTGGGCCAAGGTGGGTCCGGACGGCCGTAGTGTGAACTGGGCCGAGCTGCTGAACTGCGGAATGCGAGGGACTGGTTTGTCCCAAGGATACGGCCAAAGCGTGGAGTGGTCCGTACGCCGTTTCTGCCGGGTAGGTTGGTCCGTAGCTTGCCCATGTGGGCTGGGACTGCCCCCAGCTATTCGTCGTCGGCGGCAGTGAATGCTGACTGTACCCTGATGCTTGGGTTTGGCCAGAGATGCCGAGGCTGCTGCTTTCGCCGTAGGGCTCGATCCTTTCGCGCTCCTGGCCTCTCTGTCCGGCTCTGGGAGGCGTCGCGGGCGAGGTCGCCGGCGTCTTCTCCTGGAAAAGCATCCGTAGTTTCGAGGAAAATCTGTCCATCGCGGCCATAAAGGATGTCTCTATCCTGTGGGCCTGCTTAGACATCAATTCTTCCACCACGGCCTGCTCTTGCATGGAATCGGTCGTGCGATCCGTCGTTACTGGGACGCTGGCTGAGATTCTGACCGTGTGCTCGGTCTCGGTGACAGTGATTGGTGAGGTGGA